GTGTTGCGGGAGGGGGTCACAGTTTTGAAGACAGCCTGGTCTACAGAGCAAGTTCCAGCCCCGTCAGGGATACATCGTAAAAACTTGTCTCAGAAAAAAAAAGGGGTCATGAAGAAGTCTGTTAAAAAAACAAATTTTAAGGTTTCTAAATGGAAAAAACCAAGACTTACCAGCAAATAAAGTTGATTCTATGTTACAAGAGACCAACGGGGTAGGGGGAGGGCATGTTGAGATGGTTCAGTGAGTTACTCAGGACGGGGCGATAGTCACTAAAAGCATTTTAACAGGTCTTACTCGTAGTGACATGGTATATTAATTTGCTTATGGCTGAATTTTGGCTGAACTTACTTTCTGGCTTTCGCATGCCTACTGACCACAAGTGGTGGCCGTCAAACCATACTCTGACTGATGTCATTCTTGAATATTATTTTGATACGTTGCTTCTCATAAAAGGAGGATTTTTATTTTAATTGTGTGTTTATTTGGGGGGGCATGTGAAAGTCAGAGGACAGTTTGTGAGACTCTGTTCTCTCCTTGACCTGGGTAAGTCTCAGGGATTAAACTCAGGTGTTGGCGTGGCAGCCAGCCCCTCCTCCACTGCCCATCTAGCCTGCTGAGGGCCAATTATTTATCTGATAAACCTGCCACTTTGTATTTAATTTCTTTGAATTTAAATATTTTAGAAAAATCATGCATTTCGCCTTCTTTCTGACTGCACTAAGACGGTTTATCCAAGGACAAAACTCAAATGGGCTTCTGTTTTAATACTGGAGAACAGCCACAGCAATATGACAGGGTGTGGCCACTGTTATAACAGATGCTTGTACTGCAATAAAGACCAGTTCTACGGTGGTCTTTCACAGTCTTTTAGCTATTTATTGATATGAATTCTTTGACGTAAGTATCACCCAAGATTTACTGAAAACACTTCTAGTATGTATCAAGGGCCACTCAAATATTCATTTTTGGACTTAAAGAGTTTTGAGTGGGGGCATACACAAAGTCTGGGTTCATCCCCAGCACCATGTACCCGCGAACAAAGAAAAGTGGGAAAGTGTTAAGAAAACTTAGATCGTATTAGTTAAAAATAAAAAGAGGGGGGAGAGAGAGAGAGCGAGGAGAGAAAAGAGGTAGGAGAGAGAAAGAGAGAGAGAGAGAGAGCGCTAAATGCTTAGGTGAGTGGTTAGGAAAATTACAGTTAACAGATCATTTACAGCATTTAAAATGATAAAAGATTATTGTGGTCTAAAATGTATTTTTGTCAATGCATAAGACGTAGCAATTATACATATTAATAATATACTATAGAATGTTTTAATGCCATGACATTTAGTTAAGTAAATTTTACTATAAAATCTTAGTGTTCTATAAAATAAATATGCTAGGAAAAAACCACACAATTATAGCTATGAGATTGCTGTCTTTTTCCAAGAATGGAGAAAAAACACTTGGGAAGTTCTCTGACTGGGTTTTTATTCTCTTCCTTATCAAATTAATGCACTTTAAAATGCCTTTAAACATCTTCTTAAGCCTCAGGTGCTCTTATAGCAATCCTTCATTCTTACTCCCCGCGTGAACCTGTGAGGAGCGAACATCAAAGGACTTTTCCGCCCCTATTCTACAGTGGAGGCTGATGCTCTGACTTCCTGATGAGAAACAGCTGGCAAAGTTGAGCTAGCTTGCCCACAGTCTCAGGTTGGTTTGGCAGAATAAAGACCGATAATCTCCTCTGCCTTCAAAAGGCATTAAGTCTTTCCCCGGTCTTGTAACATTTCTGAGCTACTGAAAGGAGGCAAACATTACCGGAATGCATGCTGGGAGTGCAAGCAGCGCCCTCTCTGGGGTTTCTCGGTCTCCACTCTTCCCAAGCCTTCCAGGAGAGCATTTTACCGCTAAAGCTACCATAAGAAACAAGCAGCAACGAGTAATATCTCATTACTTTCTGTCTTAAGCCTTTTGTTGTGTGAAAGTAAGTCTAAATTTTTAGGTGTGGCTCTCCTGCCTCGGCCTCCTGAGCGCCGAGATGAGTCTGCATGCCAGATCCTTACTGTCCTTTTCTCGATAGAAATATGAGATGGTCCTTCAGACAGACAGCTGACTGGCCAGATACCTGAGATGTTTGGAAGACAAAATCATTTGGCATTAAGCATCTACAGGCGTATTGTTGATATTACTTTAAAAAAAATCAGTAAATTGCTTGGAAAAAAAAAGTAGATGTATTTTTTTCAAGTACCTCTGTCTCCATCAGATTTCCATTGTCAAAGGAAGATGAAGAGGAGGATTCCTCCTCCTCCCTCTCTCTCTCTCTCTCTCTCTCTCTCTCTCTCTCTCTCTCTCTCTCTCTCTCTCTCTNTCTCTCTCTCTCTCTCTCTCTCTCTCTCTCTCTCTCTCTCTCTCTCTGTCTCTCTTTCCCTCCCCCTGTGTGTGTGTGTGTGTGTGTGTGTGTGTGTGTGTGTGTGTGTGTGTTGCAAAGCTCACAGCACGCTGGCTGATACTCTCTTTACCTTCAGTTCAGTATAAAATAAAAAGAACTGATTTGAAGTGTGAAGCCAGAGACAGGTCCTTGGACTGTCCTAGTCAGGTCTGGCTTCCTGCCACCCCCCTTCTCGTGTTAGCCTCCTTATCTCTCTGGGTCCCTTCTCCCTGCCTTCCTCTTATGCTCCCCAAGGATGGGAGTCATGTCTCAACACACACAACACATACACCTCAAGGAGTCCTTTCCTCATGCGATAGCTGCTTTAATGTGTACCCATTTGGTGTAGATTAACCGTGCATGGCCCAGCCTGTAAAGGTGCCATCTGCCTCTCACCTGCTCCAGAGGACCCCTGCCCCAGCTCCCAGTTTTATTTCCAAGTCAGAAATCCCAAGAGGCTGATGACAGCAAAATGGAAACAGGATGATTCAGGCTGGCCTAAGGAAGGGCTCTGTTGTTGTCGAGGTGCTAACACACCTCCATGGATTGATCCTCCAGCAGCACTTAAACTGCTGACTAGTCAGAGAGCCTGGATGGGAAATTTTGACTTTGAGCTGGTGTCTATGAAAAAAGTTTCATCATTATTTTTTTTTGTAATTTGGTTAATAACAAATTCAATTTTGTCACATTTGTCATTTTCTTCTAAAATTTTGATTTTTTCCCTCGTCAAAAATAATACAAGATAACTAGGGAAAGATTTACTCTGGAACTACTCTGAGATATTTAGAAGAGGACAAAGCACACAACAAATAAATTATTAATAGGAAATGCCTGATTTCCCTTTCGCTAATTCAGTATGTGTGACCCATCTAAGATTGCACGATCTATAAAGAAAGGGTGTGCTGAGCATCCTGTACCTGAGGGCAACTTAGCAGACAGGATGTGTGTCCTAGCAGGCAGCACTGGTCTATGCTGCAGGAGGTAGATAAGATGCTCAGTTTGTTAAAACACGCGAAGCAATGCTAACCAAATATTCTCCACATTTTACGGTGAAAAATAGCCGTTTTTCCTATGGAAAAGCCTTTTGTCCTTATAACGATTTTGGATTAATCTAAAAAATGATAGATACAGGTTTAGTTCATTGCCATGTGCTTAGCAAGTACAAATCCCAGGACTTCATTCTCAAAGATCTAACAAGACAAACGCTTGAACATATTTTGGTTCCCTCCCCCTCCCCGCCAAGCTCTGCGGGTCATCGCTGGCCCCCCAGTGTCTCATTGCAGAATTATAGTGCACGAAATAGCGCTCAAAACCCAGCCCAACTCACTTGGAAGAGCACAGTGCCGATAGCGGCTTCACCCCTGCAAGGGAGGAGAGGGTGAAGGCACCGAGCGTGCACAGTGCACGCACTACCACACAGCATAATATACAGTCTCAAGTGACTGCGTTTTTCTTTTTTTCTTTCTTTCTTTTTTTTCTTTTTTCTTTTTCTTGCAGAAGAGTGAAGTTTGGGTATTTCCCCCTGCTATTAAGTGCTAATTCCACACCTCCATTGAGGACGAGCCCACCCACGGTGGACATTATTCCCGAAGCCCTCACTTTGCAATTACTTTCGGGGTTGTCCTTTCAGAACAGTGTCCCCCAGGCCCAGTACCTGGCAGCAGCCCCAGGCGCCAAATCAGCCCCCCCCCCCCGGCCTGGGCCACGCAGGGCGGGTTCAGGCGAGCCTCGGCCCCCGCGCCGCCTTTAATTTCGCAGCTCCGACCACCGGAAGCTAGCGCGAGGCCGGGGAGGGGAGGACGCGCCCACCGATGCCACCGGCGCCCGCGGGACGCGCCGCCAGTCCAGCCCTTCTTCGCTGGGTCGGCGCTCGCCCACCTCTTCCAAATTTAACCGTTACCTAAATCCGAAGGGAAATGAGCAAACCTCTGGGATTGGGTGTCAAGGTATTTTCAGCTTCGTTGGGCGTATTTATCCTCAAGTGTTTCCATAACAAGCTATTTCGGGGCCGCGGCGCAGGTTTCGCTCTGCGGACGCGGTGGTCACCAGCCGGGCTCCACGCCGGCGGCACCGGGGTCCGGTGATTCACGGCCGCGATCCGGGGGCGACAATGCCTAAGCAGGCGACAGGGTTGGGGTGCCCACAGCCAGAGGGCCAGAGAGACCTCGTGCGAGCCGAGTGCCCCTGCACCCGCCGCTCCCGTCAATCTGTGTCCTGAATCTGTGACTTCTCGCTGCGGAAGTCTCCAGGAGCCAAGAATATTTCCATTTTCTTTCTAGTTATTTCTAGTGCTGGGTACTCAGACCTCCCGGGTCCTCCATAGACAGCCCCTGGTCCCACAGATAAACAAATTGGGGAGTGTTGCTGAGGGGTGCCCATGAAGCTCGCCGCAAGAATGCCCCCCCCCCGTCGCCTCCTGACCCCTTGCGCAAAGGAGGCTCGTGGCCCATCGCCCCACTGGGGGATGGGGATTGGTCTGAGAGGGCTAGCGAGCGCCTCTAACGCTCAGGAAGTGAAGTTTGCGGTTTTGGGGGCTGAGCTCAGAAGGAGATTAAAAAAAAAAAAGTCAGAAAGAGATCAGTCTCTCCCGAAAGCAAGATTCAGTTTGCACACTCTCAGAGCTCGGTGCCCGCGCCCTGACCCCGCAGGTAGGTTTGCTGAAACTGCTGTGCCTCCCGCCCAGGCGGGGGTGGACTGGTAGGAGGACACTGCCACTTAGGGGACGTCCCGAAGGCGCTGGCGGGTCCCCACCTGCTGCACAGCTCCGGGGGCTGGGTTCTGAAGGCACCAAACCGGTGCAGCGAAAGATCTGGAGTAGGGGGCACAAGGTTTGGAGGTTAGCTAGGGAGTGGGATCCACGTGGGAAGGAACCATCTGGTGGGCATGTGGCGGCAGCTGGGCTCTGGAATACTGCTTCTGAGCACCTTTACCTTCAGGTCCCTAATTCCCGGCCTCAGATGACCAGGGGAAGCCTGGAGGGCCGCAGTGCCAGGAGCGTGCCGCCCCGCCCCCTGGACGCCAGCTGCAGCACGAGGTTGCCTTCCCACGCGCCGGGCCTTGGGCCTTGCCATCCCCCCTACCCCTCCTACCCGGAACCAGCAAAGCCCTCCAGGGTGCTAGAGGGGCGTAGGTTTGTGGCTGGAGCGAGGACGTGTCTACCGTGTCCCGCGTGGTTGCTGACGCGCCGACCCACCGCGGAATCAGGCAGCCCTTCTGCTTCCCACGGGTCTTGTTCCCGGCCAACGCCGGCCTGAGCTTCACCAAGGCCCCCAAGACCCTTGCTCTGTTTTCCTCCCCTTCATGCTTGCTTTAAGAACTGTCTCTTGGCTGGAGCCTCTGGCCGTACAAGTCAGTCAGGGACTTTTAAGAGGCGGAGCCCGGGTCCTGGGAGCCGAACCTGACTAAGGAGTGTGACATGCTTGCCCCCCAGGCCTCTGGAGCCTTGGTCTCTTGCAGAAATTTCCAGCATACTTTTCTCCCATCCCTCCGGGAAAAGACCACACACTAGGGTTGGGGATCTGGAGCAGGGATCCCTAGTCTCCTTTTAAGTGGGGACGTCAGGTGTGCTCTGTACTGTGCCCTAGGAGCGAAGCAGCTCCGGTTCCGCAGTCTAAACCGCCGAAGAGCAAGGACCAGAGGTGTTTGTCGGTCTAGACTTCCCTGAGCCCTGGTTCCTGAGCCCGCCGCAGCCGTTCCCGCCGGCTTCGGAACCGACCCCCGTCGCCTTGGACCTCGGAGGCAGGCACACATTCGTTTAACTTAGGCCTCCTCACGGTCGGGGTCTCCCCCCCCCCCCCCAACCGACCTGGAGCTGGGACGCAGTAGCAGCCCCGCCTCCCCGCCGGGTTCAGGTTTCGACCCGAGATTAGGTGAACTGATTGGGGGTTAATGAGAGCGACGCCAGCTCTCTGGCGTGCTGGCTCCGGAGACCCTCAGCCTCCTGGCCACTGATCGCTCGCACGCGCTCTGGTTTCATCTGGCTGGCTCCCTAAACCGTTGCTGCTCCACGGATTTGGGCGCCGCGTGTTTGGCAGTCTGTGCACAGGCAGTGCAGCCTCAAGTTCCTTAGGACAAGATCATTGGTGAGCAGATCGAAAAATACTTCTTCCCGGGACATAGTTGCCGAGGCTAGGCCTGCCGGGTGTGGGCTATTTCACAGCGGTCACTCCCCTGGCCAGTGCCGGCACCGCCGCTGGCTTCCAGGCTAACTTTTTCCAGAGGGCGTTTCTCCTGGGGCAAGTGTTGGTCCTTTGCCACCTCCCCCACCCCTCACTTTCCTGTCCCTCTGGCTTCCTGCCTCTCTCTGCTCCAGCCTCAGCTGCACACAATCCCTGGGCAAACCAGTCCTTCAGTCCTGCCTAGTATGCCCCTCTTTCGCTTCTGTTTGTCGCGGGACTCTTGGAGGTCTTGACTCCATCCATGCCCCTTCCGGGTCCCAACCACTGATGCACCCTGACCACCTAAACTAATCTAATCCAACGCGGCCCATTCTCTCTCCTCAGTCCAGAAGGGACCAGGCGGACATTGCAGGGTTGATTTGGGATAACGGGCCAGTTGCGGACTGGAGAGTGATGGGAGAGCTTTGCTAGGGAAGGGGAGGGGCTAGGGCGTGGGCAGGGCCGAGGAAAGGGACCTGAGCCAGATCTCGGGGACAGGTTTTACCACTGAGCCGTGGCAGTGGCAGCGGAGGCCCGGACTCGCGCCACCTGTCCGAGTGCCACCTGGTGAGCGCGGCGCCTGGGGGCCAAGCCCCTCCTCCTGCGGACCTCCCTCTCTCCTCCCTGGCCCGTACTCTCTCTCCCTTGGCCTGGGTGCGGTCTACAGCCGCCATCGGTGCTGACCCGCATTTCCACCCGGTTCTTGCCTCCTCTCAGAACTTGGAGTAACCTCAGGTTGAGGATCCAAACATTCATCCAGAGGCTGGCCATCATGCCGCGCTCCTTCCTAGTCAAGAGCAAGAAGGCGCACAGCTACCACCAACCGCGTTCCCCGGGGCCAGACTACTCCCTCCGTCTGGAGACCGTGCCCGCGCCGGGCAGAGCAGGTGCGAGGCGCGCAGGGACCGGGCGGGGCAGGGACGCCGCCGACTCTGCTCCAAGCCACCTTGCTTCCTAGAACCAGGGGAGACTACCCCAACGCCCCTCGGGTGCTTTGTTTGTTTCCTAGTACTCCGGTTCTGCCGAGCTTGCCAGAGATGCCCCTACCGGCCCGTAGTAGACCCTTGAATCTGGGAGGGCTTCCGGCCGGGTCTGAGTGGAGAGATGAGGACGCAGGCGACACAGTGGAACCACTCCAGCCAGGCTTAGGTTGACTTCCCTTCTGACTCCTCTCCATAGACCCTGTGGATGCAGGCGAGGCGAAGACGGCTCCCCAAGACCGTTTGTCTCCCGACTCTCAGCTAACCGAGGCTCATGACAAAGCCTCCGCGACCCCCGACAGCTGCGAAAGCAGCGTTTGTGACCCGAGCTCTGAGTTCGAGGACTTCTGGAGGCCCCCTTCTCCCTCGGTGTCTCCAGGTAAGGACCCGTTTTCGAGGTCTTATGGCAGAGATCCGGGGACCCCACAGTACAGAGGGAAGCCAAGAGCCTGTTTAGGGAGCAGGTTCCTACGGGGACAGGGTCCAGGGGGAGGCATCAAGCCTCATCGTACTGGACACCTTGTCCTAAGTGTCCTCCGCCTCATTCCAAGGGAGTTAGCTCCAGGCTGCCGCTTTATTCGTTGCCTGGAACTGGCAGGTGCGACAAATGAGCCGGTCCTCTCACCTGGCTGACATTTCTTTTTCTGACCAAAATTTGTTGTTTAGAAAGTGTCAGAACCCAGAATTCAGGACGCAGACACGAATAACCACAAACAAGAGACCTGGCAGTCTGCGCCGGACAGACCCGGATGCCACACTGGAGAGCGAGGTTGCCGAGGAAAATCTCAGCTCCTTGACTCTGTCTTTGAAAGTTTCATTTCCCCCTCTGCTAGGAAAACCCAGTCTCAGGGGCCAGCATGCAGGGGTTCATTTCCAGGGAGCAACTGAGCTTCCTGCAAACCACTTGACTAGGGTTGAGCGGGAGTATCTCGGGTCCTGGCAAAAGTAAGAAAGGAGCAGATCAATACAATTCCTGCCAATGGTCGGTTATTTCCAGGTCATAGTACTGGTTTTAAAAGATAGCTCATCTACTCCTGCAAGCAAAGGGTTCTTCCCGGCTGTGTGTGTGACTCCCGCAACCTCTCACGGAGCAAGTCCTCCCCCCACCATGGAGTGTGCCGTACATTCACTCAATATCCATCCAGTATCCAGTTTCAGCAAAATTGACCTGTGTGGGGGAAGGGGAGTTCTCCCGAAGATGGTGGCTAACTCTTAACTGTAAAAATAATTTTTATCAGAAATGTATCAGGTATAGGCGTACTTCGAGTCCTTGCCTGCTGCCCCTTGCTGAACACATTAAACAACTTCACAGCTTTGAGAGATCTTAAGACCATTTCAGTCTGTTCTGTCTGGTATTTCTAGATAGCCTCGATCCAAAGTTTGTTTGTTTAACCCTTCTTCATAATTTATCGCAAAAGGAAAAGAATTAAGTGGAGAATTTGAAGGGAGTAGGAGAGGTCAGGATCTTGTAGCAGGACCCTAGGCCAAAGCTCTAGGCGTCTTTCCCAACAGGACTGGCAGGTGTTGGGGGTCCAGCCAGAGAACCAACCAATCGAATTTTCCGATCTCCTCATTCTATGCCATTTTAAGCCTCACTTTGCTGCCCTGCCTTAGGCCCGGGAAGTCCCGCGGGCCTGCCTGAGTTTTCCCCAGGGTGTCCTGGATTCTGAGCGGTCTAACCAGCTAGGAACCCAGCAGCCTCGAACCTGACCCGACGGCCTTCTGTGCCTCCACAGCCTCTGAGAAGTCGCTATGCCGGTCTCTGGACGAAGTTCAACCCTACACCCTGCCTTTCAAGCCCTACGCTTGGAGCGGCCTCGCGGGGTCCGACCTGCGGCACCTGGTGCAGAGCTACCGGCAGTGCACCGCCCTGGAGCGCAGCGCCGGCCTGAGCCTCTTCTGCGAGCGCGGCGGGGAGCCGGGCCACTCGGCCCCGTTGTACGGCCCGGAGCCGGCTGCGGGCGGAGCCGGTGCGGGGCCACCCGGGACCTGCGGTGCTACGGGCGGAGCCACCGGCGGCTCTGGCCTGGGGCTCTACGGAGACTTCGGGCCTGCGGCTGCCGGGCTCTACGAACGGCCGAACGCAGCAGCGGGCCGGCTGTACCAAGATCGCGGCCACGAGATCCACGCAGACAAGAGCGTGGGCGTCAAGGTGGAGTCAGAACTGCTGTGCACCCGCCTGCTGCTGGGCGGTGGCTCCTACAAATGCATCAAATGCAGCAAGGTGAGGTTCCCGCGCACCTGGCCTTCTCAGCCCTGCGCCTGCGCCCCCAGCCTGTGACCCTCCAGCGTCCACACCCCGAGACCCCCCTCAGCGGCCTTCTCCCTGGCCCCACTTGCCCCCAGGTGTTCTCCACACCGCACGGGCTGGAGGTGCACGTGCGCCGGTCCCACAGCGGCACGAGACCATTCGCGTGCGAGATGTGCGGCAAGACCTTCGGGCACGCAGTGAGCCTGGAGCAGCACAAGGCCGTGCACTCGCAGGTAAGCTGGGCTCTGGAAGCCGGAAGCTGCCCTGGGGTCCTTTCAGTCGCATGTAGCACCAGCCACTTTCCCATTGCCTCTGGGCTCCTTCTGGTGCCCTTTCTGCTTGCTCTGATTTAGGTGTGTAGAGAAAAACGTGGGTGATAGAGGGCCGGGTTTGCAGCAATCTTAGACTGTGGTCCTGCCCCACTGTCAGCTTCCAGTGGTGCAGTTCTGTTGGACAGCAGGAAGGTTTGCTGCTGCCGCCTTTTCTTTACTGTCTGTGTTCCCTTCATCCTTCCTGACTGGCACAGAAGGGTCTCAGCTCAGCTCCAGCATCCAGTGTACGCGCTGCGCTCGTTTATAAGTAATTGTTGCCTAAGTCCAAGGCTTCAGACACCTGAGACTCATGCGGCACACCAGGTCCTTGATGGACGTACAGTGATTAAAGAGAGGGAGATAAGCGAAATATTACACAAGTGGCCAGGGCAACAGCTCATCTCCTTGAAAACCCACAGTGACTAGGGTGGGGGGTCATCTCGAGGAGGGTGAAGAAATCTGCCAATGGGTGTCAAAAATGCAGGGTGGAGCTATGCTTTTGCCCTGGGGTGTGGAGGGTTGTGGCTGAAAAGTGTTTTGGCAGAAAACATGTTAATAAGGAGGTGTTGAAGGATGGGTGGGGATTGAAACTAACGGAGGAAGGGAGAAGAGGTCTCTGGCTCAGAGGAGGAAGGGAGAGGAGGATTCTGTCCCTGGTGTTGAGGGCGGCACCCTAGGGAGGAGCGATGCATTTCCCCCTCTTCCTTTCCTGTCCCCTCTGCAGGAACGAAGCTTTGACTGTAAGATATGCGGCAAGAGCTTCAAGCGGTCGTCCACGCTGTCCACACACCTGCTCATTCACTCGGACACCCGGCCCTACCCCTGTCAGTACTGTGGCAAGAGATTCCACCAGAAGTCCGACATGAAGAAACACACCTTCATCCACACAGGTGACTGGAAGGGGCTGGGCTTGTAGGAGGCGCTTGGGAGCCAACACAACTCCCTTCTGATATTCTGGCTCCACTGTGGTGCAGGAGTTCTCCCCCAGAGGGACCTTGTCATTGGGTCTGAAGGAGTGTCTTCCTCTGTGTTAACATCAGAGCCCTCCCAGGTTTTACTACGGCCATCAGAGTTCATGTGTAGCTCCTACACTTCGTTTTTATAAGAGTTTGTTTTGTTTGAGTAGAAAAAGGAAGGCAAATGCTACCAAGTGTTCTGCTAAGCCTGTGTCCCCATCTCCATTCTAGAGATGAGGAAATGGAGGCACAGAAGGATCGGGTAACTTATCCAGGGTCACACAGGGCTCAGCTTCAGGTGTGCTGCTCTGAGGTCTTGACCTGTTTGTTATATTAGACTTTCAGTTGTGGGAGCTGTCAGTGTTGGCGACTTCTCTTATTTGTTCTTCTTTTCAAAACATTAACAATTTTGTTCCCTAACTGTGACTATTCCTAACTTCTTACAATGCTTTAAAAATACCCAAGTTTTTCAGATTGTCCTTCCCTTTTGTTTTCCTGCTGCTCCATACAGTAAAGTGGGGTTCTTTTGCTCTCCAGACATCGAGCGATCTATCAGAGTCAGTTTGAATAAATCCCAGGGCTCTGGCTTCCAGCCTGGGACTCCTTCCTCAACACTTCAGTCGCAGATGAGTGGGCTTAGTGTAGCAGCTTGTGAGCTAAGTGATTCTCTGCCCCTAAGAACCTTTCCTGTGACAGCCAACATGTCGGTTACATGAGACCAAAATCTCTGACCTTACTGGAGCACATGAACATCACTTTAAATCAGATCACAGCTGGGTGTGGTGGCACACAGGAGGTGGATCCCTAGGCATGGAGACTAGCCTTGGCTACAGAGTGGATTGTAGGCCAGCTAGAGCTGTATAGTAATAGCCTGCATTTAAAAAAAAATCAGTAAGTAACTACGTAAAAAAAAAAAAATCACAGTGCCTTCCAGGAGCCCACAGTCCATGTTTTAAAATTTGTGAACAGTGTAGAAATTTGTATCAGAAAACTCAGAGAAAAAAAAATCCCTTTGGTCATGCACCTTTGTCCCAAAATTTTCCTTTATAGGTTATTCAAGACACTTATCAAAATGCAACTAGAATCTTGACTGAATGGCACATTCAAGCCTTTATTAAACATTTATATTATGGCTACAATTCATTCCTCAGATATGTTTGACTCTGAGGGATAGGGCAAGTTTCGCTGGGTGAGTCCTTGTCAGGAAATCTTAAGTATGAAGAGAGAAAAGAACACACAGGAGGTTCCTTAAGAATGAGCAGACAGAAAGACACTTCGTTTTCTTGTTTGCTTGTTTTGTTTCCCCAAGGCCAATTCTCAACCATAGAGTCATGAGGGGACTCTTTGGGAATGTTTGTTTACCCCGGTTTTAACCAGTTCACAAGACAGGGAGAGACAAAAGCTGTTGGTTTTCTTCCTTTTACCTGTTTTTAAAACTTTCCCCTTCCGTGAGTGTCTGTTATCTGCTGAAATCTGTAGTGAAGAGTTGTTGGCATATTAAGAATCCTGTGATTTAAAACCTCAAAGAGAGGAAGAAAGAAAGTAAAGATAGAAAAGAACCTTAAGAAGTGATTTGTGGCCCTCGTGTGGATTTTAAAAAATTAAGACATTGGACAAACCCGTGTGCTTCAAGAGCGAGAAAAGAAGACAGCTTCACTGGCCACACAAAACAACACCCACTTGGAAACTCAGATTTGAAAACTTCCTCTGACGAAAGCAGTCACAGGGTCTGTAGGACGGCCCCTCCCACCTCCTGCTGAACATCTGCTGGGGGCCCTGTGCTTCTAAAAGTCAGGCAGGCGAGTCCTCGGGGTGGATTCAGCTGGGGAGGGCACGTGGCCTTTGCTCAGTTTCCGTTTAGCAGGAAACCGTTTGAGACCTTTGGCTGGGAGCCTCCACTCAAAAAGTCTCCTTCCACCTGGTGCCCCCGTGTTTTACTGGTACCAAGTTGCAGGTCATGAGTTGGTTCATGCTGCCGCCCATCACCCTCCAACGTCTTGAAGGTCTTAGCCAGCTGCTAGAAAGAGCGTGCGGGTAGCAACGGGTCCCTGCCAGTTTTATCATAGGCTCATACTTCCTGCCCTTGGTCTTCCATCCTTGCAGGTGAGAAGCCCCACAAATGCCAGGTGTGTGGCAAAGCGTTCAGTCAGAGCTCCAACCTCATCACTCACAGCAGAAAGCACACGGGTTTCAAGCCCTTCGGCTGCGACCTGTGTGGGAAGGGCTTCCAGAGAAAGGTGGATCTCAGGCGGCACCGGGAGACGCAGCATGGACTCAAATGAGCACCGTGGCCATCAGCAACAGCAGCTGCGAACACTACTGTAGAGGACTGCCTGCCTCCCAACCCTGCTCAGACCCTGCACCGTGCGCAAAGCTCACTGTGGCGTTTCCCCTTCACCTTCCTTCCCAAAGCTGCTGGAGACTGAACTCCGTTTGCAAAGGTCAGCCCAGAGTGGGAGACACTGGCTGATGCGTTATTTAGAAAGGACAAGCATTACTCTTCTGAAGACACTGGTTTAGGGAAGGGTCTTCATTCCTTTGGGAAATCACCAGACGCAGCACCACCTTTAAGCTTGTCAGAAAGACGCAAGAAAAAAAAAAAAAGTGGATTTGGTGATGAGAGGGAGTCAGAGGTCCTCTGTGGTGTCATCTTAGGAGGTGGCACTGTAAGACACAAGATGTCCCTCGTCTACTCAGCAAGTGTTTATTGACCACAGATTATCAGAATAGGGAACTGGGGAGCCAGAGATTGAAGTCAGCCGCCCCTGCCCCTCAAATGCTATCAGTTGAACCTCAAAGTAGCGATAGCCTGTGTCCTCCTCCTCCAAAGGAGTTCTGAAAAGACCACACAAATATTCAGACTTCCCATTTGACACTTTTGGGGCTTCGCAAGTGTAAAAAAAAAAAAAAAAAAAAAAAAACAACTGGAGGGTCATGTTAAAAATTCATGGGCAAATCCAGTTTTTATTGTTAGTGGCTCCTTTTCCAGCCTGGGCTGGTAGATGTGGAGCAAAGGCATTGAACCTCAACTCCTGCCCCTTGTGTACTATCTAGGAGAGAAGTAGTCTTTCTACTGTGAGGTTTTGTAAATGTTTCTAAATCTTCTTGAGTGCATTATGTATGTTAGATTATATTTATTAGAATGTTGTTTTAAATTAATAAAGTATTAAGACTATTAACAAATTGCCTTTCATTAGGTCAGAAATTCAGGGGAAGGCCACTGGTGTGTTTTTTTTTTTTTCCTGTGGGGGAAGCTGGAACTGGAGGGCTGCCAAGGAATACCAGAGTGGATACCAATTGCTCAAGTATCCATATTTTCCCTTTCTTTTATGCCTCAGAGATACTTATTTCTTTTAAAAAGAAGATTTGTTTTTAGTATTTTTGGTTATGTGTCTGTGTGTCATTGTTTGCACATGGATATGCACACATGAGCGTACCTACACACTAAGACTAGAGAGGGCATTGGATCTACTAGTACTGGAGTGATTGAGTAGCTGCCCGGCATGTGTGCTCAGAACCAAATTCAGTTCATCCAGAAGAGCAGAAAGCATTCAGACCTGCTGAGCTAGCTCTCCAGTCCCCAATCAATCAATCAATCAATCAATTAACTTTTCTGTTTTTGAAACAAGGTCTCATTATATCTATATAGTCAATTCAGAGATCTGTCTGCTCCCTAAGTGCTGGAATTAAAGGTGTGTGCCATGATATGTTTTAAATAAAACCTTAGGAGGTGTGTGAAACTCAGCTCCTAGCCTTGTAGAGTCCTGGATGGTCCCACAGGGACCTCAGTTCTTCCCTCCAAGAATTTCACTTAAAAAATAGAACTTAGGCTCCTAGATGAAAAATCATAGGCCTTTGATTTAGAGATCTGAGTGTTTTAAAAATATTTTTTATTTGTATTTGTGTCTCTGCATGTGTTATTCATGTATGTACGTGAGTGTGCAGTGCCTGAGGTGGCCAGAAAAGGGTGTTGGAGATCTTGAGGTTGGTTATAGGCCATTGTGAACTGTCTGATATGGGTGGTGGGCCCAGCTCAGGTGCTCAGCAAGGCTCATCTCATTTCTGAGCCAGATTTGGGTCCATTGTAGGCTCTGTCACTGATGCATCCTGTAACTTGGCAAATGTTTTCACTTCCTAGTTTTCTTGGAAACAGCTGTGGTCTGACCACCCAATCTAATTCTGACTACTCAGATTCCATAGAGACTGGAACAGAGAGGGAGATGGGAGGAAAGGAGGGAGGGACGGAGAGAGATGGACTGGCTGACTGCTGTGTTGAAGGCAAATCACAAGCCTAAAATGTGTGAGGAAGGATGAAGTGGGGACCTGGGTTTGTCTTAGGTCACTATTGCTGTGATGAAACACCATGAATAAAAGCAGCTTGTGGGGGGAAGGGCTTATTTGTTTATTTGGCTTACATATTCCAAGCCATACTCCACTGAGGGAAGCCAAGGCAGGAACTCAAACAAAGGCAGAAGGGGATGCCGAGGCCTTGGAGGAGAGCTGCTTACTGGCCTGACCATCCTGGCTTGTTCAGCCTGCCTTCTTATAGAACCTAGGACCACAAGCCTAGGGCTGGGCCTCCATTAATTGCCAATTAAGAAAATACATCTCAGGCTTGCCTACAGCCTGATCTATGAAAGCGTTTTCTCAGTTGAGGTTCCCTCCTCTGAGATAACTCCAACGGTGTCAAGTTGACATAAAACTATCCAGCAAAGGGTTGTTCTGTCTCTCTCCCATCAGTAGGTCCTTTAAAAGACTGGAAACAGAATAAGGTCCTGGCTTTTCCTACTTCCTGTGCTCTGGAATCTTCCAGCCAGAGCTGAGCTTCAGTCCACGTGGCCCAGGGGAACCACCAACACTGTCCATTTCCATTCTAGTCAATTTCCCACACGCCATCTTAGTACCCAGCATGCATTGGGAGACACAGCAAAGAGGACAAGTCCCATGGAGCTCCATTCAGCAGTAGGTGATGGAGAGCCACCCGCTTCCTCCCGCAGCCAGAAATCACGCGAGACTTTCTAAGTGGGAGGGTCAGGGATCTTCGGGGGGGTCATTCTTGCTTGCTTTCTAAGACCAAGTCTTTCCAAGTCAGTTTACTCTCGGTCAGAGTCTACGGGATGAGGTTGGAGAAGGTGGCTTCTCAGAAACTGTGGGTAATGAAGAATCCAAGGGTGGGGGACAAAGCCCTTGCTGAAGACACCTTACTCACAAGTCAGTGTGTACACTGGTCTGTTGGTTCCAACCTGATTGGAAAGTAAAATCATAACACAGGGGAGTGGAACTGATTGAAACCTACCGGTTCTGTCTCCTTCATCTTGCCTGGAGACATCTGGAATATTTGCTCCACTTCCATGTTTTCATGTTTATGTTATTAGAAGTTGTGTTCTCTCTCTCTCTCTCTCTCTCTCTCTCTCTCTCTCTCTCTCTCTCTCTCTCTCTCCNCCCCCCCCCCCCCCCCCCCGTTGCTGTGTTAGCTCCTCAACTTAACCTAGACACTATAATTTTGGCTTTCTTTTTAAACTGGGAAAAATATTTATCTCAATATCCCTCGGTTTAGAATCAAAACAAATTACTGTGCCTGTTGCCCTGTGAAATTTGAAGATTGCAAATATCTCTCTTAACGTTATTACCTGGCTCCATTAAAAATGGATTGTGAATATTCCGTGTCACATTATTCATGAGGTGGGCTCCATGCCTTTTGTCTGCCGGGGTAACTGTAGAAAGGGTAACGAGAGACACCCAGCACACCTTTGTTTCTGTCGCTAAATTTTTAATAACGCCTCCAGCTAGCCAGTTGGTGAAGCTCAGCTCTTGCACAAAAGTGGAAAAGCACAGCTAAGTCTGAGAAGCTGAGTTCTTTCGGTAGCTAATTTGAGTTTGTGTGTGTCTACGCCAGACACGATTGAATTACCTATCAAGTGTGCTGGGCTATCAGGATTCAAGCGCAGTAAAGGTGAATTCCATCTGATTGATTTGAGACAAAAACGGAACAACCGAGTTCTTGAAGCACCGCCTTAATTAAAGGACCAGCAGAGGATCGCGCCTCCCCCCCTACCCCTACCCCCTCCCCAGGACTGTGACTGCAGCCGCCCTTGAAAGTTGGGTGTGTATAGTGATTTGACCCAAGTCATTTTGTTGTCTGCCTGTTTGTTTAGCCTGATCATTGAGCAGAAGCGAATTAGCAGAAGGGACACCCTTCACTCTATCGTCCTCTGCCTCTGAAGAGTTCTGTTTGGTTAAATTTGTACTTCATCCCATATTTATCTAAACAGCTCCTTTATCCATTAGGTCAAATCTGAAACATAAAAATTTCAGAGACACTTCACACAAAGACTTTTGTAACTTTAAAGTTCAGGGGTTTGTTTTTAAATTGTTTTCCAATCCTTTCCCCATAGGTTTATATATACAAACCATATATATATATGGTTAGGGTACTTATAATTTATATCTAATTGCTTCATTCATTTGCTTACCATGTGGACATATACTTAAAACTGAATTATATTTCACAATGAGAAGTTGGACCTTGTTTTTGCTTATTCTGAGAAGAATCAGCTCTGAGCCAGCAATCTCCCTGCCTTCTGAGGCTTGGATTCACAGGCGCGTACCACCACTCCTCACTTGAACAATTTTTGTGATTCTGTTTTATTAATATCTTAGCATTTAATTAGAAATTCTATCATTTTGAAGACTTACTAGGAAAAATGAAGTTTTGCAATTATAGTGTTACTTATTCTTTAAGCAAAAACATTTAAAGCACACTGGAAGCTACAAAGAAGAAATAATTTCAGTGGTACCCACAGTTCTGCTGTATCTGTATTTACTTCACGCTTTATTTTACTTACTTAATACTTTCATCAGATTTTTATTTATACATAAAATATATGTATGCAGGTTAGGGTCAGAGAAACACTTGTAGTGTCAGTTCATCTTTAACTCTGTAGATTCATCATCAGGCTTGTGACAAGCACTGTGACTGACTTTATTTTTTAAATGGTATGTATAGATGGATCTATATATGTATGTATACATGTAAGTATATGTACATATAGGCTACACATATATATATTATACACACACACACATATATATATTTATATACAATAGAGAGGACCAAATGCCAGCGGACTCTGCCCCTGCCTTCCCATCACTCTGCTTCCTTCTCAGAGGCATCCGCCATACCTAGATTGAGACAATAGCTATCGGGAATAACGTGATGCTTTTGATTTCTTTATGCTTCCATAGCCTTTATTTTCTTATTTGCATATTTTAACCCCATAGAAATGGTGGTTTTACACAAATCTTTCTAGATTTTTATTTTAGCTCGATGCTTTGTCTTTGAAATTTTGTGCTGCTGCTGTTAATTTGATTGTTATTTAGCCGCTGCATACAGAATTCCATCCTTTGGATGTTTGGTGTTTATCTCTGTTATGGAAGGATAGTTTGGATCAATACTGATTTTTCATATTTGCGATTTTGCAGCACCTACTTTTTCTTTTTCCTGGCCCGTGCTGGCATATACTCGGACAGGTTCATGGTGACCTTTCGGTACACACGGATCGTGTCCCTTCATCAGTCCGTCCTCTCATGATTGTAAGGTCTTCCCGCAGCATGGTTGGTGGTCAGGTGGCCTTTCACATCCCCGTGAGAGAGATTCTTTAGGTCATAGGAACAGGAATACTGGGTTTCTCAGGTGGTTAAACCGACTTCTCTCCCCAGTACAGCATGGGAGAATTCCTGCCCACGTCTTCTAAAATTTAAAAATGTTTGAAACCCAGTTGTAAAATGCCGTTGTAATCTGTATATCCTGGTTATCTCTGCGCGAGTTTGTTGGCTTAACCGGTCTCCCTTCCTGTGAAATGTTTGTTCATGTACTCTGCTTCTCTACCGAGTTGCCAGCTTTTTTTTTTTTTTTTTTTTTTTTTTTTTTTATCAGTTTGTTCCTTCTGTGTGTACCAAACTCTCACTTGTTAGAACGCAGGCTGTAAGCTGGAAAGAGTCTGCCAGTCAACAGTGCTGTGTCTGGACCCCAGCGTCTTTTGCCTTCTCTCTGGAAGAGAGGGTCAGTTTGTTTTTGTTTTGTGTTAGGATAGGTGTGTACT